GCCTCTGGTATACTTTCGACGATCAAACTATGCAAAAACGCAGCCAAGTTATATAACGTACTGTCTACTGCAGACACTATGATTCTGAAAGGACAATTAGACTTATGAACCTTCGGAGATCCATATACTCTAGGTAGATTGCCATCACTACAGTACAGTTTCTTATACAATATATCTGATATAAATTTAGATTTTTTCCATCTTGTAAGTAACGTCTTCAAGCCATTATTAATTTTATTACTAGGATTTTTCGTAATTTTTGAATAGGTCTCCTCATCCAAAAGCATAGACCTGATTTTCTCAGTGTAAGAGGTTTTTTCTAATGCAACCGTTATATTTCCCTTATCTGCTTTTGTGAAAATAATATTATTGTTCCCCTTAATGAATAGTTTCGTGTGATTCAATAAAAGATTCAACCTATTATGTATCAACGTATTTTTGGTTTTAAACGAAAGTAAATTATTAATGATTGCCAACGAGTGATTTCTAACGTTATTATGCACTGAACTTTGCAATTTTTTAAAATTGCATTCAATGGTTTTCATGAATTCCATGACCACCCTTCTACCTCTGTCAATCGGAAGAGCGAAATTCTCTCCTAATTGCAACAAACATTGTATTTTTGTTGGAATCTCAACGGAAGAAAGATTAACAAACCATTTTTTCTTTATAGATGTTATAGAGGAAGTGATTGTATCATTTGCAAAAGAAACCGGAGAAATACTAATGCTTACTTCATTTTAACTGTTCGAAGAGGACAATGGAAACATCTCATGAGCAAACTTATAACTGTTGTCGGAATTGTTTTCTCCCCGCAACCAAAAATATTCCACTTTTTTAATGTTTGCCTTTTTCTTTTTTTCCTCTTTCTGACTCAACTAAGCCATTTTTTAAATCTATTCTTTGTGTTTAAAACAAATTGATTGTGTAATTTTTGATTCTGGGAATTAAAAAATTTGTCAAGAATATTGAATGGCAACTCATTAGAGATGATACGTACAAGATGGAAAATTATTTTTTGCGAATGTTCGATCGACCTATAAGAATCGTTTAGCTCTAACTTTAAAATTTTTTTGATATACTCTTGTCCGATATTATATTTTGCTGCTGAAGATTCATGTACATCAAAATTCGGAGAAAACTTTGATATTTTTTGAAGATGTGAAGGAATAATATTATGTTCGATACAATATTTGATCAATCCAACTCTATTTTTGTTCTTATAGATTAATTTACGATGCTTGATCCAATCTTTCATCATATTTACAACATATAAGCCAAAGACTTTACACACAAAATTAAAAAATGAATCATATAGTTGACGCCTCATGCAATAAATATCTAGCGGTGACTCCTAATGCCCATGGTTGTATATACATTTAGTATAAAATATCTTGTAAAATATTATTTAGTTTTCAGTAATCATAACCTTAATACTTTTGTGCGCGGAATAATGAGACCAATTAATTGGTTTAAAGAAAATACATTAATCAAAAAGTGTCGGATCCCCCTAATATTTTCAGTAAGAATGCATTTTGGAAAAATGTCCAATAGCAAAGTTGTACGGCTTCAAGCGGTTATGCTAGTAGGCTACGGCGGAAAACTGCCCGAAGGTGATCGCGAGAAGTTGCTCGAATGCGTAATGTCCGAAGGCGTTAGCGGGAATCTGCCCGAAAGCGTTGGCGGGGCACAGATCTTTATTCTCTCACTCTCGCAGGCACCAATGTACGAGCTCTTGAGCAAACAATACACGGACCACTGATTTTAATCTTTGATGCAGTGCTGTCTTCTTCTTAGAGAGCAGCAGTTACTTCGTGGACGAAAACAAACAGCCCCAAAAATTTTTTCTGTAACAAAAGAAGCCATTGCGCTTCAATTGATTTTCTCAAACATTTTCACTTTTGTTTCCAATAGCCCAGAAATGTTTCGTAAATATTATTAATTGATCTATTAGATTTTCAGTTGCTCAACGAGCTTTGCTAGTGCTTGTTGAAATAAACAAATCAATAGTTGGACCAACACTTAATAATTAGTTTTTTTCTCTACTTGATTATTTAGATCAATTTCTTATCACTTACCTGATTAATTCTTCTTTGCTATAATTAAGAATGGCGGAGCTTTCTGAAAAAGATCGAATAACACTGTTAATGATGCGAGGATGGGGAGATCAACAAAGAGGGTATAAAACAGTAACGCGATTATTTAATGAAAATTTTCGGAATGAAAATAATAGGACCTCTAAAAATACTGTAATCCGTACTATTCAACGTTTCGAGGACATTGGTAGCGTTAAAAGTCG